GCCTTTCAGAGCAGGCAGAGCAAGAGTGCATGCCAGAAAGCCACAGGAGCACCAGTGGCCTCCCTGCTAGCCCCATGCTGTGCCCCAAGTAAGGAACCCCCCCACTGTGGGAGAAGGGGGTCCCCTTCATAGTCTCGGCTCCTTGCCTAGCCCTAAGTGCAACAGTGGAGAGCGTGGGGGTGGGCCTGAGTCCCGTCAGGGGCCCGTGGCCCAAGGGTGCAGCCACTCTCCGGAGGGCCAAGTGTTGTCCCTCATGGGCCGGCTGCAGCCGCCCGAAGCACCACCATTTCAGCTCGGTGTTCAGCCCTGGCCCGTGGCTCCGGGGCAGCAATGTGCACAGTGCTAAGAGACCCAGGGGAGACACAGCCCTCAGAGACCCTGCGCTGGAGCAGGTCATCAAAAGAGGGGGTGGAGGGCGGCAGGGGAATGGCAGGGTGCGGGGGCTGGGGACAGGGTCCAGACTGCCAGGGGCTTCAGGAGCAGTGACAGAGTAGAGGTCGTGGACTTGAGTCCAGTGTGGGGCCAGGAGGCAGGGCCGAGGAGAGAGAGTTTGGAGGTCAGCTGTCCCATGCAGCCTCCGGAGCATGGACCCACAGAGGTCATGGCCCCCCAGGCTCTCACAGGGACCAGAAACCATGCAAACTATTTTTGTAGCTTTCAGAAGCTGCTCCCCTTGAAGCATGACTAACTCAGAAACAGCTGAACTTCAGAAACTCAAAGCTGCCCACGTGGCTGGTGTGGGTCCCCTAGGGAACTGAGAAAGTAACTTTAAATAAAAAAAACTCATAAGCCCTCAGAAATCACTTCTACCCAGAGAGGGAGAAATAGTTCTATCTGGAGCCGGGGTGGCCCTGGGCTCGCTTGGAGAAACACACAAAAGAATGACTTGCAATGTGACTTTGGGAGAAAAGTGGGTCTTTGGCTCTGCCTGGCCTCCCCCTATCCTACTCACCCCAACCACAGGATCCTGCCGGACAGGAAGATGCACCATCTCAGGACGGACATGTCACGAAGCTTGGCACTCTGCTAGGCAGCCGCCTGCCCACTCACATCTGCTTGGGCCCCACAGGGGACAGCTGCAAGGTACAGGCCAGGGGCAAGACTCCCTTGACTGCCTGACTGGCTCGCAGGACCACCCTCCTAGGGGCGGCTGGACAATCACCCCCCAAGACGTCCACACCCTAATCCCTGGAGCCCGTAAATAAGTCACCTTACGTGGCCAAAAGGCCTTTACAGACGTGACCCTGATATGGGGAGAAGATACTGCATTATCCGGGTGGGCCCAGAGTAATTACCAGTCTTTCTGAGGTGAGGGAGGGGGACAGTCAAGAGAAGGGCGATGTGACCACAGAACCAGAGTCAGAGAGAGATTTGAAGATGCTACACTGAGGACGGGGTCAGTGGCCACCAGCGATGGAAAGGGGAGGCCTCCAGAAGCATCTGCAGAAGGAACAGAGCCCACACCCTGGCCTTGGCCCCATGAGACTGATCTTGGATTTCTGATCTCCGGCACTGCCAGATGATCAACTTGTGTTGTTTTAAGGCACTAAATCTGGCATAAAGTGCTCCAGCAGCGGAGGGTTACTAATCCAGGTCCCCAGGGCCACTGCTGCTCACGCTGCTGGGGTCCTGCCCTCTCCCGGCTACTCAGCAGGAGCCTGGCCCTGGGAGGTTCTGGGAAGGTGATTCTTCCTGCAAGTCTTAACAGGATTTGCCTCACCCACAAGCAGAGTGGCTACCCAGAGGGTGAGATTTCTGGAGCAACAGGATAACACCCGCCTACCCCCGAGACCTCTCTCCCTCCCTGCTGGCTGAGGGCCGAAATTCCTCCAGAGCACAGCCTTTGCTTCGGTTCCCAAATAGGGGCGTTTGGGAAGAGGTGGTTCCAAAGGGAGGTTTACATTAAGATGTAGATGATCTGCATCATATGTTCCCTGTGAGCTGGTTCCTGAGTAGGGGTGGGTGTCCATGCAGGAGAGAGGGTTTCTGGAAAGTCTCCTGGGACAGGGACTCAATCAACCCTCCAGACTCACACGCCCACCCTGCCCCTCATGTCCAGCCACCCCCACGTTCTCTCAGGCCCATCGTCTCTGCTGAGCCAAGCTGTTCCTGGCTCCCTCATCAAGAGATGGGGTTCCTCCTCTTTCCAGGCCTGGACTCACTAGCCCCCTTCACATAACACACCACTATGGGGGGGGCGGTGCTGGGAGAGAGACTCTCCCCAGGGGGGGTCTTTGCAGAACTAGGGGACCAACCCATGGGCCATACTGGCTCCAGGATCGCCCAGGCCTCCAGAACCCCAAACTTGAGACCCCATCTCCTCCAGCCCAGTGCAGCCAGGGGACCCCGAGTGTCTAGGACAGTGACACATACCCAGTGACACCAGGAGTCTCCAATTCACTGCCCCCGGGGCCAGGCCTGGCCCCAGGAATGAGGGAAGCAGCCAAGCCGAGCACAGCCTCTGAGAGGAGCAGGGCCTGTGATCAGTCACCCCAACCTCCTTCACAGAAGTCCATCCTCACACGCACACACCCACGTGAGGCAGGCCGCTCGTGCGGAGTCACTGGTCACATCAGAGCCCTTCTTTCTCTGCTCTTCTCTCTCCCGCCCCGTATGCGGGAGGCCCCCTCAACCAGTGCACGCAGAGAGTCCACAGGTTAGATCCTGAACAATTTCCCAGACTCATCTGTACACGGCAGACGCCATGCAGAACCTACCACGGGTGCTCAGGAGGGCGAGGAACAGCATGCGCTCCCGGGACAGGTCACAGGGGTCCACATTTAATGTTAAATATGAATAAAAGTACAGCGTGACCATGGCTCATGTAACATGCCTGTCACTACTAAGGGTGTACAACTGAATACAGTCCAACACGCAGCTTTGGGGACACAAAGTCACTTCGATTCCAGGTCGTGAGAAATGCTCCCTTTCACTTTGGTTTTGGACGACAGGCTCGAGGGCCGCCATCTGGAACAGTGCCCGCGCCGTCAACGAGAACCGGGCCTGAACACGACAAAGTAGAGGTGACAGATACGCCCTCCAGAGAACGGCTCCTTGAGAGAAACTGGATGGCATGGATGGGCGCGAAGGGCTGGGCCTGCATATACAAAAAAATTTGTAGAATAAACCAAATAATATTGGAAATAATAGCTCCGGTAATACTTCTGTAAGAAGCAGAATTACACTACATGTTATTCACATGCATAGGAGTGTGTAGGAAAAATCCTTTGTCGTCGTGGTGGTTGGAGTAGAATAGCAAAATGTGTACTGGAAGTGACAAGTTTGTAGGCAGAGAAATTAATCCACAAGAAGGCTGTGTCCAGAGCGGAGGCGCCTCATCAGCAACAGAAGTGGAAGGGAGCCCACTCAGAAGAGGCACCCACGCACGCGCACACACCCTCCACTGCAGATAAATACACATGCACACTGGAGTGATATCCCCCGCGGCCCCCCGGGCTCAGGCCAGACTCCCCCGCCAGCCCCGCTCCACCTGCTGGCTGTGAGGGAAAGGGAAAGGGGGCATTGTCCCACAAAGCGGGTCTCAGGGCACACAGCCCCTTCGGGAGCAGAAACGGCTCGGCCGTCCATATGGCCCGCTGCATGCCGTCAGACGGGCTGCGTGTCCCACCTCCTGATGGCAGAAAGACAGTGGTGCCAGGGCTGGACAGCTGAGCGAACCCGCATGTCTGCGAGGGATGGCTGGACACGAAGACACCTGCACTTTCTGACTTTGGCGTTAAGGGACCTTGACCGGAGGGCTCTGGTTCGCAGGAAGCTTCCCTTGAAAACACTCCAGGGCGAAGGCTCATCAAGGTCCCACCTGGGGCTGGGTGCCAAATGCACTCCAGGGTCCTCTTCAATCTCTCCCCTTCACTTCCAAGAAATGACGAGACCTTTAGTCCATCTATTGGGAAACCAAGTTGCCGAGGGGCCCAGAAATTTCCATTAAGAATCCCAGCATACCATGCTTGGCCCACGTATAGCTCGCTCACTGTGTTTCTGAAACAGAACACAAGCATCTTGTAGTCTGTGAACACAGTAAGGGCCTCTGGCCACATGTGGTAGAGAATGTGGAAAAGAGCTCACTCGGGGAAAGCAGAGCAACGGAGTATGTCTGTGGCCAGAACTAAAACTTAAAACACCCTCCAGGCCTGGTAGTGATCTTGAGTGCATGAGGAGGGTCCAAGATACCCAGATTTCCCAAAAAGAGTTCAATTCTTGGAAGTTGCTCAGTCTGGAATTAACAGCAAAAACTTCCCTTCCAATTATAAACTGAAAAAACTCTGGAGGAAACATGTTAAGAGGCAGAAAAGAGAGCTATGCCTAACGAAATGCAGAAAGTGGTTTTAAACATTCATTTTCTAGTTAAACCTAAGTAAAGCAAGGACAGAATTGGAGATGGTCCGAGAAACGAATGTGCTACCAAAGTTCGACTGCTTTTTCTCTCTCACAGAAGTAAAGGGAACAGGGTTTACATCCGAAGAGAATAAAGGGTGGACTTTGTTGTAAAAGGAAAAAGGGAAAGAGCCTCCATTCTCTGCCCAAATGAAGGTACTGATCTGAATGGTGTTTCAGAACTGAATGGAAGTGCAAGTGACCTCTAGCATGGGGGCGTGACCTCCGGCATGGTGGCGTGACTCCAGCATGGTGGCGTGACCTCTACCGTGGTGGCGTGACCTCTAGAATGGTGGTGTGACCTCTACCATGGGGCATGACCTCCAGCATGGCAGCATGACCTCCAGTGTGGTGGCATGACCTCTACCATGGGGCATGACCTCCAGCATGGTGGCATGACCTCCAGCATGGTGACGTGACCCCGACGTGTTGACATGACCTCCGGCATGGTGGCGTGACCTCCTGCATGGTGACATGACCTCCAACGTGGTGGCGTGACCTCTGGCGTGCTCAATCGGATCCCAGCATCATCAGCCCCCAGCCATGCCTCCCCTGAAGCCCCCCGCCTGGCGCCGCCCGCCTCACCCCCGCAGCCTGGCCGCTCTGGTGCAGGAGGGATCAGTTTCCCCAGTGGAGTTTCCAGTGGCCTCAGATGGGGGAGCTCCATGAAGGGTCAGTTGCCAGGTTATTTCACACCACAAATGCTTATACTAAACACGTGCCTGGGAGGGGAAGAAGAATCTCAGGGTTTTCTCCACGCTGTGAGTAAAAGGGGCCCCCACCCCCAAAGAGACTCTTCCATCATGGTACAGTGGAACCCGCCGCAGGAGCTCAGCCCTCAGGTCTTCCTCCAGGCGAATGCCTCGTCGGCGAGCACCTGTGCCAGCCTGGTGTTGAAGGGCCCATAGAAGTCCTGCAGGATCCTCTGGGTGACCGGCCACATGGGCCCCAGGTTCCGGTCCTCAGGGCGCCGCGCGTTGGATGCGGGGCTCTTTGTCATCAGGGTCTCTTGTTTCTCACCTAAGGGCCCTGGAACACAGAGAAAAACTCCCATGAGGCCGGAGGCGCGGCAGGAAGGAACTCTGCAAAACTCCCAGCCATGCTTCGTGTTGAGACAGGAGCTCCCCTGAAGTGCTGGGAGATGAAAATTCTTTGGCTGGACCCCTCCTGGAGTTGCTGGAGGTGGAAAGTGGAAGTGCCCTCATGAACGAGCAGGGACTCACCAGCCTGGGGTTGCACACCCGCCCTCGGAAGTGTGGCGGGATCTGGGGGATGCAGCCTCACCCGAGCCTCACCTCCTGCTTTCGTGGCCACATCGCCACAAAGGGCTGGCTCTCGTGGCCATCAGCCTGTCCCTGGGTAACTGTCCGACCTGCCTGACATGGTCCGTGTGCTTAGATTTTCCTGCTAACCAGCCTACCCGAATTCTGCCAGTGTCATTTCTGCTTCAGGCTGCTGATGCAAAGGGCATGTGGCTGGGCCATATTTCACCTTGCGTATTGTGCTGTACGGTGGCCATGGGGGCTGGGGGGAGGCCACCTATGCTCAGAGACCCCATGAGCTGAACCTCCGTCTGCAGCAAGGGGATCGGTGGGGAGTGAGGCCCAGAAACAAGACAGCCACCCCTATCCCCGGCCCTCTGGACCACAGGCCTCTCATTGGCTTAACCAACCAGATCACTGCTCAGGCCCTTGGGATTTGGCCAAAGTCCTGAGCCTTTACACAGAAAACCCTATTCCAGTGTCCTTGGGTTAGGTGTAATAGAAGGAACAGAACTGGTCTTCACTGTCTCAGGGACTAACGACAAGCTCATCAATGCAACAGAATCCACCAGTGGCCAAATCAAAGAAAAATGGTTCTGGGCCCTCAAGGGGAAAAGTAATCACACTCCCTCGTATCACCAGCTCACCTGTGACAAAAGGGTTCCAAGCCCAGTGGTGGGCAAATATACTTCAATCAAGAGATATTCCAACAAAATTCCCAGGCCAGACCATTAGACGGGGCCACGGGAGGAGTCCTGGGAAGGAACCTGAACTCTGCTCTAGACTTTCAACAAGCGGTCCACGGCTGCCCACCCGCATGGGCAGCCCTCCATGTCCACATTCCCACCCCTGCTGGCCACCGCCAGGGCCAGGAGCGGCAGACCTACCCCAAAGTGCCACTCAGCTATGTGGCCCCAACTCCAGGGGTCCCCAAAACCCTGAGCCGATACGATGACCAGTCCATTCCCTGCTCCAAGCCTGGGCTTCCGCAGGATTGTTCCAGCCGCACACTGACATCTCACCCTCCTCAAGGCCCAGCTCACAGACCATTCCTTCCATGAAGCCTTCCGTTCCACCCTTCAGCAGCTGGGACCCCAAGTCATGTGTACGAACCTACGGTGAGGGCACTACCCTTCCCCCACGTCATTCTACCAGTTCCTTGGTTATTTGAGCTGCGCCTTTCCCCTCTCCCTCTGCTGGACTCAAAGCTCCCGGATGAGGGACCCCCTCACCACCTCAGCACCAGGCCCTGTGCTTGGCGAATAGCCACTGAACAAGCGGCCCACCTCAGCCTGGCCTGGCCCAGTGCACGGAGTCTGCACGTGACTCAGCGAGCACCTCGGCCGGCCAGGGTGCACGGGGCCCACGCCAGCTCCATGGTCTCCCGCGTGATATTCCTACCGAGGTTGAGAAACTGGAAGACCCTGTGCATGGTGTATTTGACGTTGGATGCGTGGTCCTCCAGGCGAAGAATGAGGAACTGTTCTTTGTTAAAGACAGTGAGCCAGTCCAGAAGGTACACAGCATACAGACCGACCTGGAGCCTCACCTAGAACCAAAGAAGAAGGTAGGCGTTACTTCAGGAGTCATTCCCCCAACACTTTTCCCAAAGTATTACGGCATGTGCACGAGCCAACACCAAAAGAGCTAACCGAGTGAACAGCTGCCTTCAAAGGACGGATTTTAAACGCCATGCATTCTTGAGTCCTCATGGAGGGTTCTGAGCTCCCCACAACAAAGGTTCCTACTCAGAGTCGCATGGAATCCTCATGATGACCCTGTAGCTAGCGGCGTGACAGGTTTTGGAGTGAAGACTTGGGCGAAGGAAGAGGCTGAGACCGCACGCATGAACAGGGCAAACGTTCTTTGCACAATGACCTGGCTGTTTCAGCTCCTACGCCAGCACACGATGGCCATGCAAAACGCCTCGGGCACAAGCCAGGTGAGTGACCCGCCGAGTGCCTGGGGCCACCCGAACACCTGTGACCAGCAGCTGTGTGGACATCCAAATAGCAGTGTTCAATGTGGCCACTACATGTCCGGGGGTCCCCGTCCTCCTGTGCCTTCTCTCACACCCAGCTGCAAGATTGCACACTGAAGAATTAACCTTACCCAGAGGGAAATCTGGCCCCTGTCCTCAGCTCCTGGGAGGTGACTTCTAGGTCACCTAGGATGTATCACCTGATAAGTATCTTTGCTCACCTGGGGCATCAGGCCACCCAACGGTAAACGGTTGAGTTATGATGGGGACTTTGGGTGACACGGGATCAGTGTGACCTGCGGCAGGGGCTGGGCAGTAAAGGTGGTATGTGACTGAGCCCCAGGAAATAGTCTGGCCACCAAGGCTTGGCTGGGCTTCCCTCGTTGGCAAGGCTCGGGGCGGATCGTGTGCTTCTTCCCTGTGTGGGTTTTAACGGGTACCCCTTCCCTGCTGTAAATTGTAACCACGAGTACCACAGTCTTCAGTGTGCCCCATGACTCCTTCCAGTGACTTACTGAACCCCAGAAGTGTTTTTGGGAACCCCCGACTTACAAACCAAGTGAGAGCGGTCTTGGCACATCCTGGCTAACTTCACAGTTGCTGCTAAGCTATTCAGAGCTTCAGGAGAGAACAGCTCTCTCCCCTTCTGCCCTGAGGCTCCTTCTCCCGCCCTCCCCAAGTCCTCGGGACCCTGCTCCCCTTCCAGTCTGCTGTTCTGCCTCTGTGGCCTTCCCAAATGTTTCCCTCTGCTGCCTCTGCCTCGCTTCACGCCAGCCCCCCCGGCAGGCCCCGCTGTCACAGCCTCCTGGGCTCCGGTCTAGCCTCCGAGCAGCCAGCCCTCGCCTGCCACCAGTATAAATTGTCCCCACCGGTGGCCTGGCCGTGCTGCCCCACGCCCAGCCCGCCTGCTGTTCCAGCGTGGAAAGCTCGAGGTCTGGCTTGTGCTCAGCCCCCAGGGGCCCCCGCCGAGCCTCGCTCCTTAAGCTGAGGGCTCGGGCCCCTCCGTCATCCCCTGCCACACAAGGCCAGCCGGGCTCCGACTACCTCTTTTCCTCTCCTGCTATTCTTTTCCCATTTCATTATTTTTCTAATCATGTGGGAGGATGTGGAGGAAGAAAAACAGTGAGAGAGGATAAGCTGTCTCCAAAACTGATGAGCTGCCGCAAGCCCCCAGGTTGTCGCTTCCTTGTGCACCAACCCATAAAGAAGACCACAAGCTGGGCCAAAGCCACAGAGAAAATGAGTATGTGCCAGCCTCAGAAATCCTGTGTATGTCGCCTCCAACACAAACAAACTGTGATGAGAAGACCTTCTCGAGCCATCAGCCTCACAGAGCATTTCAATTCTCTATCAGGCTCACGGCCTCCCTCAGCCTCATGAAGGTCATCTCTTCCAGAGAACCTGCCTTTGGGGCTTGAGAACTTTCTAGAATGAAAGAAGCTGGTGTTGGTGACAGGGCAGGGCCCTGTTCCTGACCTGTCCACAGGTGACAGACTATTTCTCTGCAAGCCTGTTTGTGCCCATCATGGGCAGAGCCCCCACCGCTGCTCCCTGGAGGAGGAAGACCTGCTGGCCGAGGCCCTCCTGCAGTGGGGTCTTCCCTCACAGGCAGCAATGGCCCCAGTGGGGGAGGGGGGCTCTGCAGAGGGAGGGGGGCTCTGCAGGGGAAGGGAGGTGGGCTGGCTCCCACAGCTGCAGGCTCCCCAGTCCCCTTGAACACCCCCTCTTCTGACCCGCCTGCCCCTTTACCACTCCAGGAAAACTCTGACCGCCCAGAGTGACACTCTCTGGTGCATACAGCATCACTACCACAACTGGGCCCCATTAAGACACACCTAGGACAGGCCCCCTCAGAATTGTTCTACTTTGCCTTTCCCCCGCAGAGGCTGGAGAATCAAAATGGACTAAAGATAAAAAGGTATTTAGGAGAAGAGTCTGGTAGATTTAAAATTACAAAACATCAGAGCTGAGAGAAGCCTTTGCAATGATCTGCCCCAGCCGACTCCTGATGGAGAAAGGGAAAGCCCAGGGAGGAGTGGGGGCCGGCCTGGGGTCAGCTGGGAGCACCACAAGCAGGAGGAGCTGGTGCCAGGGTCCCCGCCACCGGGGCTTTCCCCCCACATGGGGACAGAGCCAAGGAAGGGTGGGTACAGGGCTCTTCCCAGATAGGCGCCATGCCAAGCCTCTCCGTTCCCAATCGGGGGTTCAGGTGGAGCTCCCCACCCAACCCATCTACTATCTGCTAGTGTTGAAAACCCGTTTGTTCTTCATTCATTCATTCTGCAAATAATTGAGTGCGCGTGGCACGCCAGGTGCCCCCCAAGCCAATGGAGATGTGCTGTCATGTAACCAACACGGCTCCTAGCCTCCTGGAGCCTGGAGCCTCGTGGGGCACACAGAGCTAAGCTGCTGAAGAAACCAACATCAGGAACCACCGGCTGTGGCCCACGCTACAGGGAAACAAGCAAGGTGGGGACAGAGAACAGAGGTCAGAGGAAAGAAAGACCCGAAGAATGAGAAGCCCTGCCACACCCAGGGGAAGGAAGTGGGAAAAGGCACTAGAACCTGTTTCTCCAACCTAAGGGGACAACAGATCCGCCTGGAGGGGGCTGTTAGATAGACTGCTGGGCCCACCCCCAAGGTGCTCGTTTCTGGGGTCTGGGGTCAGCCTGACAGTTTGCATTTCTGACAAGTTCCCAGGGGACGCTGATGCTGCTGGTCCGGGGACACGCTTTGCAAACCCCGGCTCTGAGGCAAGAAGCTGGCCTGAGGACCTAGGAGGAGAGCGTGTGGCTGCAGAATAGAGGGGGAGGGGGGCGGGGAGGAGGAGGCCAGGCTGGCTCACGCCTTCTGGTGCCACGGGTAGGTAGTGAATGTCTGCAGAAGGGTAGTACCAAGGTCCACCTATGTTTGAAAAAGATCGTCCTTCCTGTGCTGTGGCTGAGCTGGGATTCACAGCTGGAGGGAAATCTGCTTCCCTCATCCCAGAATTGATGATTCCCCCCTCAAAGCAGGGTTTCCCATTGCTCCTGACAGCCTGGCTCTTCCTGCTGAGCAGGAACTGGCCAGGGGCCGAATCTGTGTATCTGTGACGCCCGCCACCCCCGTCCCGTCTACCCATCCTGCCCCTGGGCATCTCTCTCTGACCAGAGGTGTCTGCTAAGCCATCACCTCGTCAACCTCAGCAAAACCTGAGATTAAATGAAAAAAGCCAGTTCAGACCTTTGCTTTTGGGAGCTAGCCAGCTAAGGTGGAAATGCCTTGAGTCTGCAAGGCCACAGGACCTGGGACGAACATGAGGCCTGTTACCAGCTCTAAGTCTCTGGGTGGGAGAGTTAATGTCTGTGAGCCTCAGTATCCTCATCTGTAAAATGGGCATGGATTTCACGGCAGCATGGAGGACAGAACATGATGTACCAGAAAAGCTCAAGACAGCCCCTGGTGCAGCATCGGGAGTAAACCAAGGTTAGATCCATCGTCCCAATCTTACCGGCAAAGGTGCCAAGGGACTGGAGGCCCGGGAAGCTCAGGGCCGGGGGGGGGGGGGGCGCGCAGACGTCCACTCTTTATGTCACATTTACGTCAGACGCTCATTCTTCCGTGAGAGACACACAATGTGAAGCCCCTGAAATAAGCTGTACCCCCAGTCAGGAGCTCCACCCGGCACTGCCCAGCCTTACCCATCCAAATCCAGCCAGCGTAAGCGCTTCCTCATAGAAGGCCCTGGAAGTAAAGCCCACACCTATGCCTCCCTTTCAGAGTGTCTGCTAGATAATCTCCTCAAGAGAGAACTCAGTAGTCACGCAGCCTGGGACGTGGGAGAGCAAGACCTCAGTGGGCAAAAGAGACAATACGAACAGGAACACACATAAATGACAACAGCTCTATGCGTGTGGCAAAAGCCAATTCTTCCCGTCATCGGTCTGCGCTGAGAACAGTGATGACAGTGAATGAGACAGAGAGGCCTGCCGAGCTCAGTTCTCCCAACCACCACAGCCCCCTCTAAGAACTCACTAGGATCCATGCTAACAGTCTTATACACGGTTCCTGGCTGCCCCTCACGTGACGGCTTTCTTGACTTGTTTTTCCCTCCCTGCTTCCGCATACTTTACATTCTACAATAACAATAATAAAACCGAGAGTCCGCCTGCACTTCTTGCTGGTGCCAGGCCGCGCAGCCCCTTTGGGCCTCTCTATTCCAAATTATTGGACTCTGAGTAACCATCTGATCTCTCGACAAGTGTGCTACATGGCACTGGGACAGGATGGTTCCAGCACCTTCTCTGAACCATGCTGGCTGGATGAGTCACCTCCACTCTCCCTGTCCTGCCTTGTGCCCTCCCTCCATTCCAGGCCACGCCCTGGCTGGGGTTTCTTTCAGCACTGAACACGGTGCTAAGCACAGAATGGGCACCCAGTGTATGCCCTTGGAGATGAATCAAGTCTCAGCTGTGAGTGAGGTCAGTCCCCATTTCACTCCACGCCTACGAGTTTTCAGGAAATGTCTCTGGGAAGTGGCTCTTCTCTCCAGCAGGCCCTGCATGGATGACCCTCATAGTCATAAATAATCATAATAAAAAGCAACAGCTAAGGGCTAGAGCCATCTTGAAGCAAATACTGTACTTGGCACGCCAACCAGAAAACACGTGGTTTCCCCTCTGATCCCACCACCTCATCTAATCCTTCTGCACATCCTTTCTGCTGTTTCTCCTAATTGTTTCTAGAAATCTCCATCCTTTCCTACCCTGAACTCCACCACCAGTTCTCTTCCAGAAATCCCATCCCACCCCAACCCTGGCCTCCCTGTCTCTGGGAGACAGGCCCCCTCCCACCCCTGGGGACCCCGGACACCAGTCATCTTTCTCAAATGCAAAACTGCTGCAACTACCCTCTCCTTAAGCCCTCCTGGGGACCCATCTCCCTCAGGATGAAGTTCAGACCTCCAAGGCTCACCAGATCCTCGGTGATGCAGGCTCACACCTCCCTCTTCCCATCACCCCACCACCCACATAACCACATGCTGTGGCGGCTGTAGCAAACACCCTCCATGCTCACCCCTCGACCTTTGCACATCCTGCTCCCCTCACCTGGACGTCTCACTATCTCCATGTCCCCGGGAGATTCATCCTTTAGGCCTCAGCTCAGACATTACCTCTCTTAGGAAGTCCCCCTGATGCCCTGTGTCCAGGTGGCCTCTGCTGGGGGCCACAGCTTCTATCCCAGCCTCTATGTCACTCACCCTGCTAGAGCTGGGGCTGCACCAGGACCCAAGGACATGCCTGTCCTGCCATGGCTGCAGTCCCAGCCCAGATGCCAGGCACAGACACAGCGAGACAATGAATGCACGTGAAGGGTGGCAGAACATGCTGCCCTGAAATACACCACTTTGGTATAAGGATTATTTTGAGCTGAAGGCAATTGAGAAGAAACACAGATATAAGAAAATCTCTCTGCCCTCACCCCGTTTGCCTACAAGCAGTTCCTAAATTTGTAAGGGTGTCCTTCCTCCTCTCTCCACCAGGATGGACCAAAGTTTATCACTGGAGACAACTCTAGACCTTTGTCAGCCTTAAGATAGCACCAAGGATCTGACCTAACAAACCTCACTAAAACTCGCCCTTACCAGCCATTAGTCCCTCATACGTTTATTCGCCTTCTCACAATTTGTCGCCCTAGAAACTCAAAGTCCTTTCCCTTTGTCTGGTCACCTCTCTACAAATGTATTGTTCTCTTGTTAAGGCATTATATAAGCCTGAGTTCTCACCATCCCTCTGAGTTACTCGTCAGGGATGTGTGTATCTGCACACACCCGTTAATAAACTTGTGGGGTTTTTTCTCTTGTGAATGTCTTCTGTCAGTCTAATTTATGGGGCCCCAACCAATGACTCTATGATGGCTAGAAGAAAAGGATTATTTATTTCTCCCCTCCATGTAAATGAACCATCGCTCTGATCCTTACAACAGCCTGGTAAAACAGTGGTATCACTCCATTTTATGAGGAAGCCACTGAGTCTCAGAGAAGCTAAAACAACTGCTCCGAGTCACACGGCTAGTAAATGCCCAGGCTGGGAACTGCACTGTCTCCCAGTGCAGCACTCCCAGAGGAGTGGCTCCACAGGCCACTCCTCTACCCTACACCCCTGGCCAGATTCTGTATGGATCTGTGCCCTTGTCTGCAGCTTCTCTGACAAACTAAAAACTCCGGCAGGAGAGCGTCAATCCAACTCATTGCCCGATGCATCCTGCCAGAACTAGTACCCTGCCTTCCACAGAGGATGACCTCGATAACAAGAAAGGGTATGAAACCCCCTGACCTTGAACTCCCCACACCCAGGCAGTTCCCAGCCTCTACCTCCAGCACATCTGTCTACCTTACCACATGATGCGCTCCACAGAGCAGCACTCGTGAACCACACCCCGGGACAGAAAGGCTTTCCTGCTGCACAAACCTACTGTAAAGGCACTCACACAACCCGGAGCTGTGTGGTAGAAAACCACCCTTAGCCAAAGTGTGCTGAACTCACCACAAGCAGCTTCTTTTGCATAAAACAAGGCAAGAATGTATAGCTATATTCCAGAAGGCAAACAAGAGGAAAGAAAAGAGATCAAGGGAAAACATTTTTCCATTTAGGCTCTGCCGAAGAAACACTGGAAGTCACCAGTGGGCAATATTTTAAACCACCAGAACAATCCACCACTGGAGAACATGCTTAAGACTGTTTGAGAGCTGGGTCCCCATGTCTGCCAATTCTAATTGCAGGGTGCGTTTTCTGAGCCTCACTACATGGTAATCTTCCTAAATGCGCCCTCATTCCCTGCAGAGGGAGGAGAGAGTATTGTACTGGGGAGATCAGCAGGGAAGAAAGCCTGGTGCCAGCTAAAAGGGCCTATCCCTTTACAGTTTTTACGTCCGTGCATGTTTGTGCGTGCATTAGCCACCACTCAGGGGTGGGGAGAGGCATCTGCACATTCAAATGCTTCTCTGTGTTTCTATGCTCCCATCCCATCCACCATGCCGCCTGCATAATAAGCACCAAGGCGCCTGTTCTGAGGGGGGCCGGGCTTCTAGGATACGCACAGGCATGGCATTGTTGAGTGTGTTGTTGTAGACGCAGGCACGCAAGGAATAATCGAGCATGCAATTTTCAAACAGCTGCAGAGCTTCCGTCACTTTTTCATGGAAGTCATCGGCAGATTTATTCGAACTTGCGAAGTAGAGATAGTCGGAGTATAACCTGTGAATAAAATAAATGGATATTTTTACCACCTGGGAATGAGAAATCATGCTCCTTGGGTGACAATGACAATCAACATGCAATCACACAATCTCATCTTGTACATCAGGACCCTGCCATTTCTCTTTGTTCCCTTGTGGATGGGTCACTTCCTACCACCTCTCACACCTCCCCACCTCTGCCAGAGCCACCCACAATCTCTTGGACTCAGACTCGTCTACACTGGCCCCAGACAAGCCACCAGTACTTTCTTTATTCTTTCCAGCCTCTTGAGCACGCAGCCCTGCTTTCCCTGTCCCAGTAAGCTCAGAAACTGTATAAGAGCGAAGACAGGCCATGAAAATGTTATGCTCCTTCATCTCTCTCTCCCTCCCATCCGAGGCAACAAGAACATCTGTCGCTCTTACAACATTACATTTCCTCATAAAAATTCCTGCCCATTCCACAGACGTTCCAAACATTAAAAAAAAAAATTATGAGATGTATCTCTCTAGATTAATAGGGACTTGTTTTTTAACACAATATAAAAACACCCCCACATATGCATGCAGTCACCTGTAACCCGTTTGTTTGTCCCTAGTTCTGTTCACACGGATCCTACCACATGGATGTGCCACGTCTTTCTGCGGTGCCGATCCCTGACCAAACTTTACTGGGGGTCCTCTAAACCTTCTTCCCAAGTAGGCCTCACCTTGTAGATGACCACATCCATCCCTGAATTGCCCAATTTCAGCAAGAATCCTGCTAGGTCGGTTTAGCCAGAATCCCCCACCCTCTGTTATCTGATCACCCTCAGTATGTGGTGGGTTCCTGGTCCCCCACCGCCCCCCATGAGATGTCTGATCCCCCCAGCCTGTCTTCAGCCAGAATCCTGCTAGGTCCGGTTGGTCAAAATCCCGACCTGCTTAGCCCGATGTGTCTTCTCAGTAATTTCCAACCCCCTGACCCCCACTCCTCCTTGGCTGTAGGTCCCCACTTTTCCCCGCTGTACCCGGAGTTGAGGCCAGCCTTTGTCCCCATGCCGTGTCCTGACTCCCCTGCAATGATCCTGAATGATGCCCGCCTTCCAGCCTTGAACAAGCATCAGGATAAGGGTCTGCTCTCTTGCTTGCTTGCTTTCTCTTTCTTTCTAACCTTCCTCCCTTCAATAAATCCTCTGCAAATATATTTTACTGGACTCTTTGCATTACAGATAGATTTTCTAAAGCGTGGGATATTTCTTTTCTTATATCACATAAATAACCAATAAGACAAGATGAATCATAACAGCATAATAAATGCAGCATGGAGAGTCTTCCTGCCCAGTTTCTCCGGTGGTCCTAACTGGAAGTCCTGCTCCCCAAAGGTGACCTTTGTTATCAGTTGCTGAAATAGCCTTCCAGGAATTTTCTGTGCCTACTCAAGCACATATCTGCATATTTTATATTTTCGGAAACAAAGATGGCATCAGGTTGTATCGGATGGAGTCAGGTCATAGACCTACCACAGTGGCACTTTCCCAATCACCTCATTTGGAGGATTCTGAGCACCCATAAAAGCAGGTGAGATGGTACACTGCAGCTTGACAGGCCCGTGATTCCACCGTCACCCCATAACTTCTTTCTTTAACACAACTGAGTTGTGAATTCCCACACTGAATCTTCCTGCTTTCTGCTTGCAGAGAGGGTGAGTCTTCATCTTTTGTTTTTCAAAAATCCCTTCTTCATTTCTGCCTGGTGCCTTTCCAATGCCCACTCCGACAGGACCTCCCCGCTGCACCTTTCCCTCATACACCATCCTCTGCCTGCCTGTGGGAACACGGGGCTGATGTGGGGCGGCCCCCTGGCTCCAAGGACTCACGTTCTCTCTCCTGCTAATGCCATACTTCCTGCCCCTGAACCCCAACTTCTCCAACGTGGCTTCACTTATTCCAGTGAAGGCAAGTCAGTAAATCTTTACTCCGTACCAGATGTCTGAGGAGTACCCATCTGTCCTGCTGGCTACTCTCTACGCTCCAGCCAACCCCAGCGCTCAGCCACATCCACTGGGGCGGAAACCACAGGGCCCCCATGACACAGGCCTGCTGCAAATGTTCCTCCCACGCCCCTCCCTCTAACGGGAGGGGATGCAGATGCACGGATAACACGAGCATGGCTTCTCAGGGACCAGAGCTGCTTCACCTCAGACATTTGGCACAGGGCCTTTGACCCCTTTAGAATCCATCCACAGCCAGTGTCTACAGAGGACACCTGTGAGAAGTCTGGAGATGCCTGGTATCTGCCCACAGATGGCCTAGAGTCTACACACACCCTGGAATGGGAGAGTTTTGTAGACCTCAGCCTGTTCAGTTAACTCTTCAAAAGGCCCTGTTTCCAGACCCGTCATTAGTGATGCTCAGTGACTGGTGAGTTCATGCCCCCCAGATCTGTGCCCACCCAGGCACATTACCCAGGATGACACTACATCCACCTGTTACAGTGTCCCCCAACATCACCTGTCCATTGTGGCACCCATCACTGCAGGCTGGTCATAGTATAACCTAGAGGCTGATGGGTAAAGGCCAAAATCAGATTTGCATGGGCCTCAAAAAACAATTCAGTTGTATGTGCCACACGTACCATGTGGCCATGAGTCTGATGAGGTACCTTTCCCAGCTCACACATTTCTTAACAGTCCCACTGATATTATGGCTCAGGCCAAGAAACTATATCCAGGAAAAGTGACACCTTTGAAACCGTCATCAAAATCTGTGTTTAATAGTAAATCCAAGATCAAAGTTCTTACCAAGGACTCCTACAGGACTATCCACATTCTCTGGTCGACCTGGAATTCTATCATATAAATTACTATCTAAAAACCCAACCACTGGGCCAAGCTTTCCATACTGAGAGTTGATTTTGTAGTAAGAACATTTCCTGTGGATGTCTGGCTCATAAATAAAACAAGAGCCCCAAGACCTGCCTCAATTTTAAACACCAAGTAACTTCATGCTGATTCCATACAATTCTTTAGAGATCAGGAAGTAATCACAGAGCATAAACTGGAAGGTGGCTGATGTTCCAAACAGGCCAGGCCAGCCCTGATAGGGGGCAGGAGGGTAGAGAGGGCTACGGATTTTCATCTGTTTGAGGTGAGGTGAAATGAACTCAGGATCCCACCTATGAGGCAGGTTCAAGGCCTTTTACAAACAGGCCAGGCTCACTTCCTCAGTAGAACGGAGGGGGGTGTCCCTGGCCTCTCAGACCCTCCAGGAACCCTGGGTCTGCCCACAGAATGTGCAGTGGGCCTCGGGATTCCCTCGAGCCCACGTGCATGTCAGGATGTAGATCTGTGACCATACGTCCTTCACGCTCCTCTTTGTCAAAAACATCTGAGCAGAGACTTTATTCATCACAACGAATGGCCATCCCTTCTGTGTGGATTCTGTAGATCCCCCCAAAATATGTCCCCAGTAATTGTGAATAGGATCTTATTAGGAAGCAGGGTCTCTGCAGACGAAATTATGTTGAAGATCCTGAGATGAGATCATCGTGGATACAGGGTGGGTTGTAAATCTGATGACTGGTGTCCTTACAAAGGACACAGAGACACAGGGGAGAAGGCCACATGAAGGCGGAGGGAGAGGAAGGGGTGACACCGCCACAAGCCGGGGACCACCCAGGGCTGTAAGCCACCAGCAGCAGCTGGACACAGGCCTGGGACAGTCCCTTCCTCAGAAGTCCCATAAGGAACCTACCCTGCTGACACCTGGCCTTCAGATATCTAGCCTTCAGAGAATACATTTCTGTTGCCTAAGCCATCAGGTTTATGGAAATCTGTTGCAACAGCCCCAGGCAATGTGTGCAGGTTTTAACCTCCCATTGCCAGGAAGGCTGAGGAGTCATTTGTGCCAGCACCTCTCTCCTACCCTGAGACCCTGGTGGAGTCCTGAGTGCGCAGCTGGATGGGGGGCACAGGGTCGCTTTCCCACAGAGATACAAGGAAGGCAAAGGAGAAGCATGAGCTCTCGCTTTCGGGGGAGCGCGATTTGGGTTCCCTGAAGAATTAGGCTCATGCTTCATAAGAACGTCAGCAATACTCACTGCTATGATTTCCCTGCAGCTACTCTCCTGGGGGGAAAGGACCAGGTAGTGACCAAGGATGACTGAAAGCCACTTGGATAGTTTAAAGTCATTCAGAAAATGTTGAGAAGGGCAGCAAATGTATCAAGAATAAGGATCCAAAAGCTGGAGTAGGCACACCCATGTAACAAGAGATAAATCTAAACATCCACGTTTTCGTCTTTAAAATCAACTGTAGAATGATGAAGTAGGGGAGAGAAGCCAGCAGGGATAATACACAACAGGTTTAAGCTGACATAAGCTCATAATGAATCACCACAGAACTGCCTGGACACTTATGCAAATCTCGGGATGCACTAACAAAGGTAGGGCACTGGGAATGAGGAAGGGTGTCGCTCTGCTCCACCCTGGCACATGGGGACCCCAAAAGATGCTTGCCTGCTTCAGTGCTGGGTACCGAATGGTGGGAGGAAGGAGCTGTTCCATCTGAAGAAGCAAGACTTAGAAGGAAGAATAAGTTTCAATGGCTATAAGGCTGTCCTGGGCTGGAAGGAGACCTGAACCATGCTCCTGAAGGACTGACTGACCTATGGGTAGAAGGTTCAGGAACGAGTTTGAAGGGAAAAAGTCTCCAGCTGGGATAGTCCAGCATGAAGCGAGCGGCCCCGGCAGCAGGAGCAATCATGACTGGCGGGGCTGAGTGGGAGCCAGCTGACCCTGAAACCCAGCCAGCCCCCTGGCAGCTTAGGGGCTGCCAAGCCCCCTTCTGCTGAACCACCTAATTTTCTTCCTCTTCAACCATCCCAAACAGATGGGTGTTACATTTGGCCAGGACTGTTTCCAACAGCAATTCCAAATATAAGTCCAAATACATTCCGGGCCTTCTGTGCTATGGTTATTTTAGGAAGCTGCTGGGCAGCCCCGTGATGGAGGGTCGGCCCTTGTGGAGGTGTGGCTAAG